TTCTCTTTGACACCATGTCTGATATCCCACGTGATCTGTCAAATACTAATGCATGAAAATCCTAACCTCAAAAAAATCACCCGATATAATAAAATTTTAAATACCAAATATTATGACCAACAATTGTCAAAATCAGAATACAATTGCTCAATCAAACATGTGGACCACTAGTCACTACGGTGGTGACTTTTTAACGAAAATATGGTGTAATATATGAGATATATTGGGTAGTCGAAAAAGTCTTTTCGTATTTTTAATCAAACTTCAACTTGTATTTATTTATACTTATACTAATAACTAAATAAACAAATATGTTCCATTTTGATAGACCACTTCTTGCCATATTTCACAATTTTGAAATTTCTAGAACAGAAGCGAGTGAACCATTTTTGTGCTCCACGAGCTGATATAGCATTGTCTATGTAAGCATCACAAATTTCATTGGTGGCTTTTTTCTTCCCGATTCCCTTTTCTTAAAATCCTTAAAAAAAACTTTTCTAAAATGAACTTTAGCCTACAACAAACCGTATTGAATAGCGAAGTGCAACTGAATATGCACAAATATTTTTCTAATTAGGTAATAACTACACATATCCAACATTTTCTGATCATAAAAACCGTTAGACAAAGAATTAATGTGCAATTAATGTGAATTCTTAGTTATGTGCTTTAGTTTTATCGCACCAGATTTTTGGAGTTCTTCATATATTTAATTTTATATATTATTTTAATAAATTAATTTGTTTAATTCTTGCTAATTTAAAAGAAGAATACATGAACTAATAATACAAATCAATAAAACATCATGTAGTGCATATTTCATTATTATATGCAGTTATATACCAACAAGGTATATTCCGTGCTTTAGTTTTGTCGCACACTGTATATATCTGCACAAAGTTAAATTATAATATTAGGTTGCCAAAAAAAAGTCTCGCGGTATTTCTTGCGGTATTTGTATTGAAGGAGGATGGAGTCATGTGTAGAAGTTCACGCAAGTGAGGAAAGTTTTCTGATCGCCATTCACGTGGGAGTGGCCAGAAACGATTCTTTTACATATGACTCAAGCAGCTCACGACTTCCGGTCTTTGACCAAGTATCCTCTGGGTAGCCTAAGAACATCCGTTCGAAGGTGAGCTAAAGTGAGAAGGCGAAACATTCCCTGCATAGGGTTGTGCGCTGGGTTTGGGACCCGCCACGTAAAAAAACCACCCCAATGAAAACCCAACAACAGCCTCGGATGAGAGACCCCTGGCTTCGCTTAGAATCTCCAATTGGCGCCAAGCAGCGAAAAGAAAGAACGACTGGTGCGCTGTTGTGAAGTCGGTTATTATCGCGTAAGCGGTGTCTACGCCAATAAAGAAGAAGAAGATTTGTATTGAATTTTCAATTGTTCATAAAATTTTTTTTTGATGACTCATGCCCAGCATTTGACCGATGCGACGGCTGCTACTATGCCGGTCTTTTTCGACCAATTCAGCGGTTTTATCGCAATTTTCGACGACAGGCCTTCCGGAGCGTGGCTCATCTTCGACCACCCCTACACCAGAACGAAAATGTTGAAACCATCGTTGTGCGATGGAAATGGAAACTGTATCGGATCCATAAACTGCACAAATTTTATTGGCGGCTTGAAATGAATTTTTGCTTTTATCATAATAGTACTGTAAAATATGCCGTATTTTCTCTTTATTTTGTTCCATGTTTGCGACGCTGTAACTCACGAACGACTTAAAAGAAACGACAACAATCAAACACGTGTTAGCGCGTGAAATGAGCTTTCCAAAAAGGTATAGCATGACCCGATGCGACGAATAAAATTAGAACTACGCGCTCTCAGCGCCAACTAGCGAAAATACCGCAAGACTTTTTTGACAACCACGATAGGTATACTGGATATAATTACTATAGTTTAATGCGGAAACATGCGAATTTATTCCAAGAATCACCCCAACTACCATATAATACATAGAATGATTTTGGTATATCATATTTTATTCTAACCAACCTTATACCAACTATGCCGGTCCGTATTTGTAATAAACTTGTATATGGTATTAATAATATCGTATTTAATAATATGTTCCGGTTATCAGTGGTGTTTTTTGCCTCTTATAATCCCTATATAGCCATTTCTGACTTTCCACTTGTACTTAAACCATTTCAAACGGTTAAACTTTGTCTTTTAATGAAATGAAAGGAAGGAATTGTCTTAAAAATTAACTATGTGGAGTAGCGCTGAATAGGAATAGAATTGATCAAAATCCACTTAATATAGTAAATTCCAAACCTCTGAATGACCTTTTCCACATCAGCTTGATATATTAAAATTCTATATATTTCTATCCTATATATCTCATTTCTGGATCTTTTTATACACTTTTCGCAGATAAGAACTAAAACAGTGTATAGTGTAGTGATTAAACCAAGTGAGACTATGACCGATAATATAAGTTTATAAGACACCAAATTGTATTATAATATTTTCACGATTTTTTCGAAAAATGAATATTGAAGGCTTTCCAAAAATTTTTTATACTACATACAAACATACATTACTCATACATTTTTAACAGCATGTTGCCACAGTGTATAATAGTTTAAGGTATATAGGTTTTTATAAATCCTATGTATATATAAATGATCTGTATGATGAGACGAGCTGAAATCTGAATGTCTGTCTGTTCATCCGTCCGTCTGTGCAAGCTGTAATTTGAATAAAAATCGATATATCGTCATAAAATTTTGCACACATTTTCCTTGGTTGAATCGGGAGGACGAGTTTGTACATGTCGCAGTCGGACCACTGCAACGCCCACAAAACGCCAATAATCGAAAACTTGTAGAAGGCCGTAACTAAGTCATAAATAAAGGTATAAAACTTTAATTTGGCACACTGAACTGCAATTATTTATGTCACCTTCGGTTTCAAATTTAAAAAAAGTGGACATGTTCTCTCCTCCTAACACGTTTAAAATATATAATATATATCTCAAAAAATTCAAGCAGGGTCCTATAAATAATTTTTACACCTCTTGCGACAGCGTGAAAATAAGTGAAAGTGCGACGTTTGAGTGTTACATCCAGGTCGATACAAGAAGGATTTATAGGAGCAGGTGTCAGACTTGGACGATGGGAGTGGCACCGCCCACATTTAAAATTCCATCCAATTTTTTCTAGTATACAAAGAAAGTTGGTATATATCGGGATAAATTAAATAAAATATCGGGATTCATAAATAGTGGTTTTAAGTATACCATCTCTTGTTAAACTAGTACCATATATTCAAGCCCTTAAATACCGGAAATATGGAACAAACATATTGCCTTTTTACCGCAAATATCGGTCAATGTGTGAGATACGCAATAGAAATTAGGAAAGAGTCCCTTCCTGATAATAAGGAGTATGTCTGTATGGTAAAAATGGATTGAAGCCAAATTACATATCTCATTTGAGGATGATTTTAAAATAATTTTCACTAATGTAGTTATGAAAATATTAAACAGAAACATGATTTCTTACCACAATATTATCCTAAAAAATTTCAAACAATTAATTTGATTCATAAAAACCGCAATATTCGTGTATTTTATATGAATATTGTTTTTTGGTCCAATTTTAAAAGGTGTACTGTGACACTAAAATAAATATTTTGGCAACGCTCTTTCCCCTCGGCATACCATTTGTGAAAACCGTCATACCGAGTTCTAATTCAATATCCTGCGGGCCTTCCAAAGAACGTTTTAGTTGTAAGTGAACCTCATGTTTACTCTTAACAGTGCTATAAATTATTCGAAAAATTTAAAAGTATTGAATGACTATAAGATGATCAAAATAACTTACTCAAAATGATTATCCGACGCTTTTTCGATATTAGCCGACGCTTGAATTTTTATAATTTTCAAATCAAAGTCGATCTCATCATACCATATAGGTCCACGAAGCGTAAACACAATTCTGCCTTCTGGCGGTATCATAAGTTTTGAGACCAGTGTAATGAAATTGTAAGTATAAGCAGATGGTTTGCTATAGCATTCGTCGCCCTCACAGAGATTGTTGATCAAGCGACACCGACTGACGATAAAAAGCATATATTAAATGATATATTGTTTTAAACTAAAAAGTATTTATTATTGCTTTACTTTTTCTGATCCGGATCATTTATATATCCATACTGGCAATGTATGGTTGTACATTTGTAACTACCATGTATATTCGTGCATATATCGTTATGCCCCGTACAAAATTCTCCAGTTGCGCACTCGTCAATATCGCGACAAGTATTTTTGTCCAAAGTCAGCGTATATCCCCGTGGACATGAACACTCATATGATCCAGGTACATTATTGCAATAGCCCATACAGAGTTTGTACGCTTTGTGTACTTCGCATTCGTCTACATCATTGCATGTGCGATTATCGGCACTTAACTCGAATCCTTGGTTACAAGTACAACGGTAACCTCCCCAATAATTAACACACTTCTGTTGGCATAGACCCGGAATTTCCTGGCATTCATCCACATCCAAACAAATGCGTTTGTTCGCTTTGCTCTTTTGGAAACCAGATTTGCATTCGCAATAATATGATCCTATGGTATTCAGACATAGAGCATTCGAGGGACAAACGGGTGGATGCCCTTGGCCACATTCATTAATGTCTATGCAACGGCTTACGCCGTCACGCACTCGTAAAAGCTGATGTCCAGATGGACATGAACAAATATATCCACCGTTGCGGTTTCGACAAATCTGATTATCAGCACACTGATGTTCTCCGGTTGCGCACTCGTCAACATCTATGAATAAATAGAATAGATAAAAAAGAAAATTAATAATGAAACTAAATTTTTTGTTTATTTTGAAACTTTATCTGCGTTTATCGAAGCATTACCTGTACATTCTGTGCCGTCTGAAGTGGATTTATAGCCCGCCGTGCATTGTAGCAAGTTTTGACAGCGGTAGGAACCATTTGTATTAATGCAACGTTGATGTGAGCTGCAAGGGCTTATCAAAACGCATTCATTGAGATCTGTTAAAAAAATTATTTATGTCATATAGTACATATGATAAAAGTAATTCCACAAAAATCGAGCGTTTTTGGAACTAGTGCTTTCATCTATCTTGCAGGAAAATACAGAAATTAGGAAATGACACAAATAAATTCATCATCATATTAGCCCTGATGATAGTCGATATTTCTCATTATTGGGACGGAATAGAGTCAATTAAATTAATTGTTATATGTTCATTGTAATCGAAATATTTTGAGTAGTTTAATGGTATGCCTAGAGTTACTGAGCATAGTATATTATTACCGAAACTAATTTTAGGAGGTAGAGCCCCATTACTTTCAAAATAACAGCGATGTTTTTCACACAATCCACCCTAGCAATTTCACGAGGGGAGTTACTGCTATTATTGCAAAAATAATATCAAATACCATGAGAATAGAAAAAACATACCTTAGTAGAGCAACAGCTGAATTAAAACGAAAAACTCATATCAAAAACAAGTAAGGGACGCTAAGTTTGGTGCAACCGAATATTTTATGATCTTGGAACTGTAAAATTCAAATGCTTGGAAATACTTTAAAGTATAAAACAATCATATAGAGTAAAGTCAGCCGGATGTTCGCAAATCCTGATATTAGTTATATAGGGCCTCGGTCAAGTTTTTGCTCAAATTCCATCAATTGAAAGCACAGAGATACACTGTTATGAGCAAAACACGCTCTCTTATTTTTATTGGGGTAACTCACATATTGGCAGATATATACGGTCACCCAGACAGTCGTAGTTCTTTATATAATATTATTTATTGGGGAGTAAAGGAAGTATTGGTCCGATTCAACCCATTTTTGACATCCTGACGTACCAATATAAGAAAAGGATTATATCTTAATTTCGGTTATATATATATGTATATAGTATATCACAAATTGACCAACATTTTCGATCAAAATTGAACTATAGGTACCGAGGTCCAAATATTCGGTACCAAGGGACTTGAAAAGTTTTTATTGTAATTGAACAGTTTTTTTTAATAAGGTGGCACATACTAAAGACATTATTCGTGCAAAGTTGGATCCCGTTAAATAATTTGTTCTTGATATGTGTACAGGAAACTGAACGAGTCAAGTGGAATTTAAAGTCGTGCTATATGAGAAGTAGTTGTGGTTGTTATCCGATTTCGTCCATTTTCACAATGTGTCATAAGAATGTAAAGGGAATGAGAAGAAATCGTACTAACTTTTATCAAAATCGGTTAGTCGGGTCCCGAGATATGGGATTTCAACAAAAAGTGGGCGGCGCTAAGCCCATTACCCTGTTTTCACACTGGCTCCCGTAAGTCTATCTCATAATATCTCGGTGGTAAAATTTAATGTCTCAGGCATATTTAGTTATTGATTAGGTGAACAAAACTATAAACTATGTAGCAGCTGGTTGCAAGAGTCAATACACAAATCCTTAGCTCAACTATCGGCAGACAAAACAGATGATTACTCTGTACGAAATATCTTAAACGTCTAGCATGTCACGTTGTCCCATTAAAAATTAATAGTAACATATAGACTAAAGGTGATTGTGCTAAAGCAAATGCATTCCAATCTGAAACTGCATTCCAATCTGAAACTTTTCGCCCGAATGAGAGTAGTGAATTCGTTTTCCTCAGTAATGTCCAACATGACTTGTGAACTTGAAAATGAAATTAATCAACTCATAATTACGAAAGCACCAGGACTTAATCTAATTAAAGCTTAAGTATTAAAGCAGTTACGATACAAAAAGTGTCTTAAAACTTATCTATCTTGTCAATTCACCTGACACACTTTCCAAGTCTTCGAAAAAGTTTCTGAAGTGGTTATAATTCCTAAACCTGGAACGGATTCCCATACAGTGTCGTCATATAGACCAAAGAAGTTTTTAAAAAACTAATTATCTAAAGATTAAAATGTATGACTAATAAAAAGCTGTTAAACAAGCAGTCAACAATAGAGCCAGAGGCTCCCTGATACATCAGAAATACTGATACTTATCGTGACCTAAAGGTGAATACAGTCGTCGAAAAAATAAGATTTCAGGCAGAGGCCGCTTCAAAAGACATAATAAACCGATTTTGAAGATTATCAGTTCATTGGGTGAATGATCAGACACATACCACACCTCGTGAAATAAATATTTCGTCGAAATTAATTTTTCTGTTAAAGTTATTGGAAGTTGAAATTTAGAACATGATAAAATTGTAGAATTATATTCTCACAAACTACTAGAGATAAATCAATGAAATTTGAAAAATAAAAATGTTCGTGCTATATTATAGATATTTTTTCACGATCCATTTGTTTAAATAATAATATTTTTCATAATTTTTTATTAAACAATTGAAATTTTTCATGTGTCCTTCACAGAAAAAAACCTCAAAAGTATGTGGCACAATGCAGAAAATATTCGCTTTTAAAAATTTTAGTTCGTTCTTGCCATTCCAAAGATATTGATGTTTTTGTCCCGTCTTCCGCTCTAAAAACGCTAGGCACATCGGTCGACGCATTGTGCGCTAAGCTTCCGAAATATATGCCGCAAGAAAAACATCAAATTAAACAGGAAAATAATCGAGCTATTGATGGAATGAGATTACTTATTAATTAAATTATTGTCAAATAATACCTACATATAGCAAAATGTGTAATGATACAGAATTAGAAAAAATAATATAATTTATGTATCTTTGCATTTTTTCATTGAGATAAATTTTAGAGTAAAATTTTTTTAGTGTTAGAATCATAACAATTGTTTCTCAATGCGTTAACATGGTTATAATTAATATTTAATAATATGTATGACATAAAATATCTTAAAACTTAATTATGTTTTAAGTAATTTATGTGAAGTTTTTTTAAATTTGTAATGTAATGATAGTTGATTCATTATTTCAGAAATTTTTTTATTCGAATTTTCATGTCAATCATTGAATTTGATGGTTAGTTTTTACTTCATTACCTTATTCGGGAGCTTCTGGAATTTTTTTTCATATGCATCATGATATACTTGAGAACAGAAATCGAAATCTATTGTCACAAATGCATTTTCTGCCCATTCGAAAAGACTTTGAGCACTTGATATCTGATTCCCTGCAATACAGTACCCACCTCCCCATATTATAACTGGGTATCGCTAGGAAATTCCACTCAGCTGCAATTCCGAAATTTTTTTTTGTATTTTGATATTTCAAGTTTTTGCTTTAACCCATATATAGTATGTTTAGAGCTATTTTCTGATCTAACGCATATATTGTATACACCATTTTTGTCGGCTGAAATACATTCTGGTGGTCTAAGATAATGGAATTTCGATTACCCAATACGTGCCTCATATATTTGTAATTTTTACAGTAGATCTTGTAAATTTCAGAGACTTAGAATTTTGAAGACTTAGTCTTTTGGGTAACCTTCTACAACTGTTTTATTCATGTTCAACATAATAAACATTTACAAAAACTATGCAAAGAATATAAATATATATATTTGAAATATAAATACATATACTTTGTTGAATAGTCTCTATACATCTTCGAACGACATGAATGGCAAATGTGTTTACTTATGTACGCGCACTGTCAGTCATTCCGCGCCAGGCGTCAGATTATGAGCAGCGCGTTTTATAAGCGCAAAGGGAGACAAAAAATGCAATATATGCCGAATGGCATAAATGGGAAAATTTTTTTGCAGATTATTAAAGTTGGGCGAAAATGTTTGTCCTGACTCTCCAGGTACTCGGAGACAACTGACCAGCCGCTTGTTCGTTAGCTAGGAACGCCATTTACCGAATATAGTCGGTGCGCGCACGCTCCGAAATACAGTCGTGGAGGGAGAAAATCAGTGCCATTACTTTCCGGATAAACGCCGTAGCTATTATCATCTTTTTCGAACGTCCGGCTGATTTTAATCTACATGATTGGTGATTGTATGTTAGGTACCTTAATGAAACCGAAGGAACATTTGCTTAGTATATTTTATGATAATAGTTAATAGATAAAATCGGGTCGAAACCACCCCATCGTCCATATATTACTTTTAATGATTGTCCTTTTCTAACAAATCTTATGCCGAATCGGCCCATATATGTAAGTTATATGTATATATATACAAATATATATAAAATTGTTTAGATTCCGATCCTCTGGTTGTACTCTTATATCATAAGCTATTTCTCTGGATTTGATTCTTGCAAGTTGCATCCAATTTAGCCCTTCCTTACTTCTTTAATTCATTGTAGTTTTTTGAAGTAAACTTAATAATTTTTTCTGTTTATATATATAAAAATTTCGCACTGAATGGTACATTTTTAACAGTACTTATACTCGTAGATATCTCAGTGAATATTAGTAGAGAGAGCTTTCTTTTATGAATATTCTATTTTGTACAGATAAAGTTATTTAAACCTTGTGTTGCCACCCAAAAAAAAATCACACTGTCTGCCCTACCCTGGGTACCCGTACGCAAATTTGTGCATATAAGTGCGTTATACGTAAAAATAAATGAGTGCATTCTATCAGGATCTATATGTATAAATGTATTTCTACTTGAATGTACAATATAAATTATGTACAGACACCTTCATAGTCCTAAATCAGGCATAAAACGCGCACTGCTCTAACGTAAATTTCTCGTTTTTGCGAAGGTTTGGAAACAGGTCGCTCTCTGAATTCCCTTGTACTTCAGGAATGTTCAAGAATGCCGTGAAATGAATATAAGCTGTATAGTTAAGTTGACTCGCTGCAGTCTTTGGATAGTTCGTTGACTTGTGTTCATTACATACCGATATTCGTAGTTATTTATTTATTGCAATACTATTGAAAAAATTTGAGAAGTCATAATTGTATTTTATTTATATACCTCAGATAAATAAAACGATGGAGTACTTATCGAAAGCACAGTTTTTGAGGTAACGTAAATACAATAAATACACGATTTATTTACCCCGATGGGTTTTTAATTTTATCGAAAATTGAATGCGAAAACTATGAATAAAA